CTATAGTCCAGCTACTCGGGAGGCTGAGGCAAGAGAATCGCCTAAACCCAAGAGCTGGAGGTTGCTATGAGTTGTGACACCACAGCACTCTACTGAGGGTGACAAAGTGAAAATCTGTCTCATTAAAAAAAAAAAAAAGGTCTGGATATAACTTAGATATATGAGTCTACTTTTTCAGCTGTAAATTTTATAAAACCTAGGCTGGGCATGGTGGCTATAGGCTCACACCTATAATCCTAACACTTTAGAAGGCAGAAATGGGGGGATCACCTGAGGCCAGAAGTTCAAGACCAGCCTCAGCAACATAGCAAGACCTTGTCTCTACATAAAATAAAAAAAATTAGCCAGGGCTCAACACCTGTAGCTCAGCAGCTAGGGCACTGGCCACATACACCATGCTGGTGGGTTCAAACCTAGCCTGGGCCTGCCAAACAACAACAACTACAACAACAACAAAAAAAAACTGGGTATGTGGTTGGGGCCTGTAGTCCCAGCTACTTGGGAGGCTCAGGCAAGAGAATTGCTTAAGCCCAAGAGTTTCAGGTTGCTGTGAGCTGTGATGCAACAGCACTCTATCAAGGTTGACATAGTGAGATTCTGTCTAAAAAAAAAAAAAAGAAAAAGAAAATTAGTCAGGTGTGATGGCACATGCCTGTAGTCTCAGCAGAGGCAAGAGAATTGCTTGAGCCCAGGAGTTTGAGATTGCTGTCAGCTATGATGATGCCTCCAACCTGGACAACAAAGCAAAATTCTGTTTCAATAAAAAAACAAACAAACAAAAAATTATGAACTCCAAACACAGATCAAGTAGGCCCAGAGCAGGGGCACACACCTGTAATCATAATACTGTGGGGGACCAAGGCAGAAGGATCCCTTGAGTTCAGGAGTTCAAAACCAGCCTGAGCAAGAAGAGAGAGACCTTGTCTCTACTGACAATAGAAAAATTAGCCAGGCATTGTGACAAGTGCCTACAGTCCCAGCTATTCAGGAAACTGAGGCAGGAGGATCACTTGACCCCAGCAGTTGTCTCTAAATAAATAAAATAGATAAGTATTTCCAATGAAAAGTTAGTATCCAAATCAAGAGGCACTGCAAATGTAAGATACACACCAGATTTCAAAGACTAAGCATGAAAAAGAGAATATAGGCTCAGTGCCTGTAGCACAGTGGTTACAGCACTAGCCACATACACCAAGGCTGGTGTGTTCAAACTGGCCTGGGCCAGCTAAACAACGACAGCTGCAACAAACAATAGCTGGGCATTGTAGAGGGCACCTATAGTCCCAGCTACTTGGGAGGCTGAGGCAAGAGAATTGCTTAACCCCAAGAGTTTGAGGTTGCTGCAAGCGTGACGCTACAGCACTCTACCAAGGGTGACATAATAAGACTCAAAAAAAAAAAGAAAGAAAAAGAGAATACAAACTATCTTGTGAATAATTTTGTATACTGATTACATGTTAAAATAATATTTTAGGGTGGCTCAAGGACTAGGGCACTGGCCCCATATACCAGAAGTGGTGGGTTAAAGCCTGGCGCTGGCCACAATTGGAAAAAAAATGTTTAAATAATAATAATAATATTAATAATATTTTAGTTATGTTGGGCTAAATAAAATATTGATTAAAGTAAATTGTTTCTTTTCACTTTTGTAATATTGCCTCTAGAAAACTTAAAGTTACAGAGGGGCTCACATTGTAGACAGTACTTGTCTAGAATCTAAGGCCCCAGAAAACTAGGCCTTACTAGGACTGAAATCTGCAAACACAACATTCCACAGAATCATCATGCTCTGCCACATGGCAAAAGAAGAGCTGATATGCTCAAGCTGAGGGCTGTCCACTACACAAGAACATAAGACTGAGCTGGATATGAGAGCTCAGGAGCTCAGACCTGTAATCTCAGCTACTTGAGAGGCTGAAGCAGGAGGATCACTTGAGGCCAGGAGTGTGAGATCAGCCAGGCCAACAGTCAACACAGTGAGACTCCATCATTTAAAAAAATAAAGAAAAAAGAACTTAGACCTTACCCTCAGTCATCTCTAAGAAACCACTATCTGGTCTCTAGATGTTCTGGTCACCCATGTCTAAGAATCAACTGGATCGGTTCTTAGACTAACAAAACATTATTTTACAAACAAAACCCACGTGTGCTTTGGGGTGTGGGGCTAGAGCCATGAGAGCCATACTTACGGCAGTGCTTAGATCGAGCTGGTTTCCTTAAATCACAAGTAGAGCACTTCATGTTTTTTTGAAACATCACTTCATCAAATTCATAAACTTGAAGAAATAATAGTTCATTTGATTTTGTTATAATGGCTGAAGAAAGTAAGGGCTTATGTCAGTTTCAAGCAATATGGTGGACTGGGTGCTCATAAAACCTATCCTGATACAACATAACTAAAATTACTATATTTAATATTTTAAGCAATTTATTCTTATAATTGCTTTATTGAGATATAATTCACAGACCCAATTCATTCATTTGAAGTGTACAATTCAATGGTTTTTAGTATATTCACAGATTTGTGCAACTCCTACAACTTTAGAACATTTTCATCACCCCAAAAAGAAACCAGTTAACAGTCACTCCCATTTCTAATGCCCCAGAACCTGGAAACCAGGTTTTTCTGTCTCTATGGATTTGCCTTTTCTGGACATTACATTTACATAGAATTATATAATATGTGGTCCTTTATGTCTAGCTTCTTTCACTCAGTATGTTTTTAAGCTTCATCCATGTTATCCCATGAATCTATACTTCATTCTTATTTATGAATGAATAATATTCCACTGAATGAATATAATACTTTTATTTAACTATTCATCTGTTGGTGAATATTTAGTGCTTCAAGGATAGAAAAATTTAAAGAGATGGAAAAAAATATCAGATACCAATCAAAAGACCACATGCAGGATAGAGTATAAGGTCAAAAGAGCTAGGCACTAGAGACAGATTGATTTGCGAAAAAGCCAAGCATCACTGCTGGCTCTGAATACTAAAAACAATATTCACTAGACACAACTTACTATCTCAATCCTAAGTCAGATTTAGCAGTGATAAGGTTAAGGTAAGATAGAAGCACAGTAAATAAGATGTGTTGGGATTCAATTATACAGTTAAACATAAACTTCTTGTTTTTCAACCTTCACTCTCTCTTTGAAATTTGCCACTGTACTGTGTTTTCTCATGCCTGAGACTGCAATAAAAGTCTGTGCAGATTGTTGATGGGGCTGCACCCTTGTCTCTCCCTAAGGAGTGCTTGCTGGTGTTGTCCTCCCAAGGTCCCTCAGTTCAATGCATATTGACTGAGTAGGTGTTTTTTTGCATCAAGTCCCATCCACAACCAAAGAATAATAATAATAAATTCAGACAAAAAAGACTTGAAAGCAAAGACCATTGGTAGTGTAGTGGTAAAGATCTTCACTATACAGTTGGTCCTTCATATCCCATGGTCTGTAGCTAAAGATTCAACTAACCGGGGATAGAAAATATTTGGAAAAACTTTTAAAAATTAAAAAATAACAATACAACAGTTAAAATTAATACAAATACGCCAGGCATGATGGCTCATGAGCCTAATCCTAACACTCTAGGAGGCGAAGGTAGTAGGATCACTTAAGCTCAGAAGTGGAGACCAGCCTGAGAGAGAATGCGACCCCCACCTCTACTAAAAATTAGCCAGCATTGTGGCAGGCTCCTGTAGTCCCAACTACTCAGGAGGCTGAGGTAGAAAGATCACTTGAACCCAGTAGTTTGAGGTTGCTGTGAGCTAGACTAATGCCATGGCACCTAGCCTGGGTGAGGTGAGACTATCTCAAAAAAAAAAGAACATATACATATATGTAAATAGTTTCAAAATACATAAAGAAAAATTAACTACAATAATTCTGTCAAGTCGACCATCAGAATGCGATTAGAAAAACTCTCAGTAACCGATAAAAAAAAAAAGTTCACATGGAAATAAAAGATCAAAGATCTGAACAAGGCTGAGTGAGGTGGCTCACGCCTGTAATCCTAAAACTCTGGGAGGCCAAGGCAGGTGGACTGCTTGAGCTCACAGGTTCAAGACCAGCCTGAGCAAGTGCAAGATCCTGTCTCTAAAAAATAGCCAGACATGGCCGGTCCCATATGCTGGAGGTGACAGGTTCAAACCAGCCCTGGCCAAAAACTGCAAAAAAAAAAAAAAAAGCCAGACATTGTGGCAGGCACCTGTAGTCCCAGCTACTCAGAAGGCTGAGACAAGAGAATCACTTGAGCCCAAGAGTTTGAGGTTGCTATGAGCTATGAAGCCACAGCACTCTACTGAGGGCAACAAAGTGAAACTCTGTCTCAAATATAAATAGAAAACAAAAAATAAATAAAAAATAATAAAAGATCTGAACATAATTTATAAACCTGATGTAATGGATTTATATGATTCACTATACCCAAGAACTAGAAAAATACACACTCTGCAGGGGTCCTCAAACTTTTTAAACAGGAGGCCAGTTACTGTTCCTCAGACCACTCGAGTGCCGGACTGCAGGCCCTGGGACGAGTCGGCTGCTAAGCAGGACAGGCAGCAGCGGCAAAAACACCCAGCAGGCTGGATAAATGTCCTAGGTGGGCTACATGTGGCCTGTGGGCCATAGTTTGATGACGCCTGCTCTAGGGACACAAGGGTCATTCAGAAAAAATAACCACATGCCTCAGCATAATGCAAATATCAATAAAATTTTTTTTTCAAATTTAGCAAATGTCAATGAAATTTTAAAAAGAAATAGTATCATGCAAACCATAATCTCTACATATAACACAATTAAATGAAAGTATCAAAAAATAAACTTTAAAAAGTATATTAGACATTTTTAAACAGTCCTAAATAACCCATGGATGATGGCTCGGTGCCTGTGGCTCAAGTGGCTAATGCACTAGCCATATACACCTAAGGTGGCAGGTTCGAATCCAGCCCGGTCCCACCAAACAACAATGATGGCTGCAACCAAAAAATAGCCAGGCATGGTGGTCACCTGTGGTCCCAGCTACTTGGGAGGCAGAGGCAGGAGACTCTCTTGAGTTGGAAGTTGCTGTGAGCTATGATGCCACAGCGCTCTACCCAGGGGGACAGTTTGAGGCTCTGTCTCAAAAAGAAAGAAAGAAAGAAAGAAAAATAACCCATGGATGAAAGAAGAAAAAAATAAAATTAGAAAACTGGAAGATAATGAAAACATATCAAATCTTTTGCAAAGTCCCTAAGGGGACCACTCCTTATCTATAAGACTATCTATAAGACTGTGGCACTGTTGCCAGTCTGTGCATTAAGACACTCAACTTACCAGGATTGGTTATGCAAGTTAGAGTGAAAAAAAACAAGTTTATAATCAGCAGCAAATAAGGAAGAAGAAGGTAATACAAGGAGAACTCCAGCTCTTGACAAAAGCCAAGTATTTCCCAGGTGTATTCACCATAAACCATCCCTTCCAAGATCAGGTGCAGGATAATGAAGATGTGGTTTCTGGAAGGAAATAGGCACATAGCTTGTTCATAGAAGCTTCTCCATGAAAAAAACCATACAATACTACCAAAGACCAACCACTTCCTTTGGGCTTGAGATAACAGTAAGAATTAAATGAGAGGCTAGGCATGGTGGCTCACACAGTTAATCCTAACACTTTAGAAGGCCAAGGTGGGAGGATTGCTTCAAATCAGGAATTTGAGACTAGCCTTAGCTAGACCCCATCTCCACTAAAAATTGAAAAATTAGCTGGGTGCCACAGCAGGCACCTGCAGTCCCAGCTACTTGGAGGCTAAGGCAGAAGGATCACTTGAGCCCAGGAGTTTGAGGTTGCTGTGAGCTAGGCTGATGTCACAGCACGCTAATCTGGGCAACAAAGTGAGATTCTGTCAAAAAAAAGAAAGAGGGCTTGTCACCCATAGCTCAGTGGTTAGGGTGCCAGCCACAAGGCAGGCGGGTTTGAACGGGGCCTGGGCCTGCTAAAACAACAATTACAACTACAACAAAAAAACAGCCAAGCATTGTGGCAGGTGCCTGTAGTCCCAGCTACAGGGAGGCTGAGGCAAGAGAATCTCTTAAGCCCAAGAGTATGAGGTTGCCGTGAGCTGTGACACCATAGCACTCTACAAGGGTGACATAATAAGACTCTGTCTCTTAAAAAAGAAAAAAAAAAAGGCTCTGTCTCAAAAAAAAAAAAAAGAAAAGAAAGAAATAAGAAACCATGTGAAACATTATGCACATATTTTACAGAAATATATATCAATATTTTCCCACTCTATTACATATCTCTATGTAAAACAAACACACCAAAACCCCAGAGACAAAAGGGAGAGTAACTGTTAAGTAGAGGCTCCAAACTCAGGACTCTTGATCTTTTCCAGCATCCTCTCCCTCCTTTCCCTCACCATCCTGGAAACCACAAGTAGCTTCCTGAAGGTAGAGGGTAGCAATAATTAATAATCAAAACCAGAAAAGAGTACAATATTCAAACTCCGAAATATAAATACCTTGTATGGAAGAGGTAATGAAGCAATCTTTGCATGGCTCTCTGAAGACATTCTGGAATTATACAGGAAAATATCTGAAATGAAAGACTCAATTTCATTTCTCATTCCTCCTACTCCCAAACAAATTAGATACTTCATATATAGCCAGCATTATGAGTGATACTAAGTTTTGTTTCTGCATATGGGCATAAAGCAATTTAAGACAAAATAAAAAGGAGGACTTCCTCCTAATAGCCTTTCTTTAATGCCAACTCCTCCACTCCTACTCTGACCCTAAAGAAAGCACCTGTTAGGGTCTTCAGAGAAACAGTGGACAGAGGGAATGGGTCAGGGAATACTGATGTGAAGGGCTCTCCTTCCCCTCTCCAGGTTCAATCCCAGGTTCCAGAGTCCACCCCTAGATCTCTGGACATCAGCCCAATTCTCTCCCAAATCCACCCCTTCCCAGGGGCTGTTTGCCCCAGTTTTGCTCACTTTGATCCCGGAAGGAAGGTAGACAGCCTGCTGATGAGCTTCTGCTCACGCATCCCCCCACTCATCAAGCCCCACCCTCGGTGGACCCTCTTCACATCCAAACCCAAATCTCAAAAAAAATAGCCAACCTTGAGAATGCTATCCCAAAACATCATCACAAGATTACCTTTAGAGGTAACAATAAACAGACAGACTTTGAAATATGTGTATACCACAATTACCATACATCAAAGAACAAATGAATCAATGAAGTTAAATGGCATCTTTTTTTTTTTAATGTCCCAGTGGGAGACCACTGAGTTTCCTGGACTAGCACAGTATTCAAAATCTAGTGGTATCCCAGGACCATCTTTACCTGCGCTCCTTCCCTGACCAGGCCTTTCAAGCGATGGGTTTTCGAGCAGATGCAGATCATACCACCACCAATCAACACCAAAGCCAGATAGAATAAGAAAAGAACCAGAAAATCCATCCTGGGGACTAGAAAGAAACAGAAAGAGTTGACTATCTGTTACTGAGGGATTTATTCCATTGTCCATATACTCAGACATCAACTCCCAAACTGAACTTCCCAAACAGAACTCATCAGCTCTGAAGCATACACTACAAAGCTCTACTGCTTCTCAGGGGGCTTCCCAAAAGGTCCTGAGCTCCCTCTTTCACGAAGTTTTTAAATCTATGGGGTCTGCCTTTGGAGTATCTCCTACCTGCATGTCCAAAATAAAGGGAAAAAATGCATCCACCTTCCTTCCCTCCAGCAAGAAATCATCCTTTCACTTCCTTAAATGTGCACATAGATATTGATACAGAATGTACCCAAAGAATCTGACGATGCCCCCCAAACAAGCATCTCTTAGAGGCAGTGAAGAGTCCTGAACCCAGGATCAGGCATCCTGTCCTAACAAGCATCCCTCCAAGACAGTAGCAACAACTACCAAGGATCACCCGCCGGGACCAGAGTTAACACATAAGCCTATGTTAAGATACTGGAACTGGTTACTTTTGGCCTTAGCAGGTAGGATGCTGGGCTGGAATTCCAACAAAGGAGTTTCAGTGTCCCCAGCCTACATATTTCTCTTGATTAGACACTTTTTCAGCCGGCAGCTCGGGTATTCCTGCTCCCAACATTCACAGAAAATTCAAACAGCAGCTCCTTTTGGGCAGCAATGTCTGGGCAGCACACCAGGTAGTTCCTCCAGGAAGCTGGATCTGGCTGCAGAGAGAGACCAATTCAACACTAGCATAGTAAGACAAAAATAGGTGTCAGCAGCGAATACACTGTGGAAAATGATTTGAAATTAGGGGATGCTGAGCCCCTGCAGGTGAACAGGTTTTTCAGACTCAAGCTGGTAGCCTGTCGTCTATCCATAACTCTGAGACGCCCACACTGGAGACCAGAGGGCCTCCCCGGGGCTACTCCCCGTCCGAGGCTTCTGACTGGGGGATTTGCCCGGAACTTTTCGCGAGGTCTGGACCCGGGACAGAGGAATGCAGAGGGTGCAGAAGGGTCTGAGGAGATATATGGGGCGCCCGCACTTCGGGTGGGGCGAGACAGGACTGCAACTGCAGCCCCACATACACAGGGGAAGAGAGCCAGACGGAGAGACGGTGGCCCTGGGCAGCGGCAGCGTCAGAGAGCTCCGCAGAGGCGGCCTTCCCGCCAGCCTCACCACCAGCCTCACCGCCAGCCGCCGACAGCTGCCAACCACAGGGCTCTGGCGCCTTCCGGACGCTCCCGGGACCGGCCTGCGGGCCCGTGACGTCAGCGCGGCGCCGAGGCAAGGCCGACTTCCGGCAGAAGTGCGCCGGGGCGGAAGAGGCTTGCCGGAGTGCCGGCTCCGGTCTGTGCGCTCAGAACACCCCCTATCAGCTAGTCCTGGAGAGACCTGGCGGTAGTCTGGCGTGATGGCTGAGAAGTAGGATTTTTTTAAAAAAATTATTTAGAGACAGAGTCTCTCTCTGTCTCCCCGGGTAGAGTGCAGTGGCGTCATCAAAGCTCACTGAAACCTCAACTCCTGGGCTCCAGCGATCCTCCTGCCTCGGCTCCCAAATAGCTGGGACTACAGGCGTGTGCCACCAGAGCGGCTAATTTTTCCATTTGAATAGACCAGGCTGGTCTCCAACTCTTGCTCAAATATAATCCTCCCGTCTCGGCCTCCCAGAGTGGTTGGATTACAGGCGTAAGCTCCTGTGTCCGGCCTGGAAGTAGGAATTTAGAGCACTGTTGTCAGAAGACAGGAGAAGACTTCCGGGCTTGGTGCGGGAGAGAACACTGGCGTTGTGGAATGGACCAAGCCGCCTGAGGCCTGGACAAAGTCCAGCGTGGCCCCACTCCACCAGCTAGCAGGGGTACCTGGGTGGCCCAGGGCAGTTAGATTTAGGGGGCTCATAAACTATGTCTGAGTTTGCTTTCAGTCGCCACTCGGTCGGTATCTGTCCAATCCATTCAGCAGTCAGACGGCGGAAGCAGATAGAAGGCACAGTGTGAACCCATTAGTCAGATACAGGTCCACGTGTGTCCTTGTCCTGATGTCTCCTTACAGCCCTGCACATCCTCCCCCTGGGAGCAGTGACAAGTGCCTGACCACAAACCTTGAGGATAAAAGGGAAGGCTGTTTGATGGTAGGTGGACGTGGGGTGAGAAGAGCTACTTCCAAACATAGCATTGAGAAGGCCCCCCATGGGGTGTTCTTTGCTCTGAAGCCCTCTGAATCCTCTGAGGCCAAGTCTATTCTTGATGCCTCTGAAAACCTGAGGCAGACCTATCCTCTCTTTGAGGGTAAATGTGTGATCTCCAAAAGCTGGACTTCAAGCTCTTTTCTTTACTGTCTTTGCCATCTACCCCAGCTTCTTGATTCTTTTCTTATTCCTTTTAAAAACAATTCCTTGCCAAGTGGGACACCTTCTCTTATATACTTTATATCTAAGATCTGTATGAACTTGTGGACACAAAATTGAAAAAAAAAAAAAGGAAATCTGAATATATGATGTCAGAAGGCTGTGGTTAAAGATGGAACCTTGGCATATATCCAGAGCAGTCTAGCTTTCATCACTGTCTCCAGCTGAGTCATCATCCTGCTGGTTGATATTGAGCTAGTGATTAAATATTTTGGATTACCTTTCTTTGTTCATAAATACAGAACTTTATTTTTATCCTCTTTCATTTTGGGGGGGGGTGTTTTTAGTTCAGACTATCTTTGAGTCATGGTTTAATTACCTATTATATTTTGTGCTGGATTGCATTTAATTTTTTACAAATTTATGCAAGTTATGCAGTATGTTCCCCAGGGAAAAGTCGAGCTATATAAAACAAAACTCTTCTTGACCACCACTTTTCCCAAATCCCAGTCCCTTGAAGCAATTAATCACTCTTATTTAGTATGTATCCTTAAGGATCTACAAAGCCCAGAAAGGGCTATGCAGACAACCAACAGGTAAAGTGATAAAGTGGATCAAGCATCTTTTGTTCTAAACACAATAGCTATTTATATAGACCAAAGGATTGTTAACTTGAACCCAAGTATTCACAATTCCAATGTTTAGAGAGCATTTGAAAATCTGCATTATTTTGCTTGAGCCCAAGAGTTTGAGGTTGCTGTGCGGATGACATAGGGAGACTCTCAAAAAAAAAAAAAAAAAGAAAAGAAAGAAAGTCTGTATTTTTTTATAGCAAAAATTCCTGATATTTTTAAATACTGGCAACTTTAACTCAAGAGTTTAAAATACCCTTCAAATTAAGCACAACACACCTGCAGGACAGTATAGCCCAAGAACCACTAGTGTGCAACCTCTAACTGTTCTGTTGCTAAACATTTA